CAAGGATGACAGGGAATTCATTATGGGGGACAGGGAGTAGCGTGGGGTCAGGAGGGCTTCAACTGTGAGGTTGAAGTCGAGAACTTTGGCAAGGAGGAAGATGCCTTTTTTATTGGTTTGTCAACAGCCCCAAGAGACAGTTTTTTGGCGTTGAAATCGCCTGCGACGCCTGGAGGTAGGAGGAGGGCTAGTTCAGAAAGGTTTCCATCCGAAAGGGGGGTATAGAGAAATAATCCTAAGAGGGCCGGATGTTCGTGAAACTTCCATACCAAATGCTTCTAAGGAATTTGTGGCCAAAGAGATAGGCCTGTGCTTTAAAGAGTTGCTAACAAAAATCGCTACACGCCGGTACCACCGTTTCCATGGTCCCTTCTGTAGGATGAGAAGTTTAGGACGAAAAGTTTGATTTTCTGTAACAAATGAGTTTCGGTGATGCAGACTACACCGACTGACTTATGCTCGAGGAAGTGTTCGAGTCAGTCAATTTACCTCTTATACTTTGAGCATTGCAGATAAATATACGAAGATTATTTGGGTGAGCTATATTATACATTGGTAGGAATTTTGTAGGACAGCGACTAGACTAACTGCCATCGTTTGAACGATGGCCTGGATTTTGTGTTGGAAGAGTTAGAGACTTTTGGGGGATACTGTTCTCTTTGGAGCCTTGAGGCAGCCGCGGTATGTGGCGCGGTGGTTTCCTTTGCAGTTAGCGCAAGATCGGGTGGCATTCTTTTTATCTTTTGCCTTGCATTCGGCAGTGATATAGTTACGGAACAGAAGGAGCAGACCCAGACAGCGTGACGATAATTGGCCGTGTGGAAAAATTTCATGCAACAGCGACATTGGGGGGCGTCCTTAGTGGCTCTTTTTGACTCAACTTTTACTCTAAGACCGCAAACCTTGCCGAGTTCGAAGATTGACTTGAACTTCGGAGAGGTTTTGTCCAGACGAATGGACACTAAGGGCCAGATTTTTCCACAGTTGGTCATTCTGTGGACGCTGCGAATGGCAACACCTTTGTGAACAAGTTCGGCTTGGATATCGTCTGTGGAGATGTCTTAGCAAACTCCACGGAAGACGACATGAAGATCACGGTCTTGTTTCAGTTGGTCTGTCGAAAACTCAACTTTTGATTCGTCGAGGAACGACAAGAGTCGACGAAAATCGTCCACGGAGTTAGGATAGACCCCTATAATAGTCATTGATATTCACCGCTCGACGTGTGGCGATGCCGTGACTGTGGGGGGTGACTCCGAATCGGATTGAGCCCGGGTGGCAGAAGAACGCGTTGTGCCTTCGCACATTGGGAATGAAAGATCGCCTTAGGAATGTTGGCGTAGGAAGTCATAGATTATGGTGAGCATGGATTGAAGTTCGCTCGCCAAGGTACAGGGCTCTTGGCTGTAGCCATTCCGAAATGGCTGGCAAATCAAAAACAAAAACGACTCCTGTAGGTCGTAGTGTATGTATGGAAAGTCTTTTTACTTTACATAAAAGGAATAACAGACCGAATCGGAAAACTAATGGAAAAACTCCAATAAACCCATCTACCAAAATAGAAGAAGCCCATCAACAAAAGACAAAAGAGATCCGTTAACCACCACCGAATTATACTGTATCCCATGTAGTTGCAGCCAGGTTTACATTGATACTACGAAAAGTGCTATAAAGTAGAAAAAACATTAAAGTAAATTGTCTATAGTGCTTCTGTTCTCTCTGGATATTGTTGTTTGTTGTTACCTTTTCACTTAGAACGATTTTGCGATGAATTTTGGTCATAATATTATTTATTGATTAAATAAACAGAAAAAGGTTCTCCTTTACATTAGCATGCTACGCACATTTTTTTACTAGGGAGGCTAAATTACCCACAGGTAACCATACCATATATCAGTTGTGTGAATCTGGCACCAGATATAAATAATTCGCTGATTAAAACTTTACCAATAAACTGTGCGTCGTTTTCGGATTCTAAATATATAAGTAGTGTAATTGTGAGTCTATTAGTTTTGCTAGAAAAAAGGAAAAATGTTTCGGGTGCAGGTTGAAATGGAATGTAGGTTTATTGAAGAACTATCGAAGATATCATAATTTAATTGACGCCAATTGTTTCGCGTCATTTGTATTTGAAGACTGAGTTGTTACGGTAAATGGAATTTATCTTTATATTATGTGTTAGTAATAATTACATATAATGCATAATTATTTATTGATATTACCAATATGTGTGCGTCATTAGTGAATAATAATTGCTATTATGATCATAAGTGTAATCATACATTAATGATTTATAATATTTAATCTATGACATGGATGTATAGTTTCGATCCCCATACTAGTAATTTTCATATTAATTTTGGTCGCATATTCAATCATACACATATGGTTATTTTCCTTTATAGTAAGTTATTTACAAGACAAAGCGGTCGTTAGTGAGGGACCCTTTTCAATCAGACAAACGTAAAAAGCCTTCATTTGCATACTGAACACTATATCAGCCCGGTGGAACACACCTATAAATTTCTGTGGTTGCTATTTTTACAATTTGTTACATCTATGATTTACTATCTATGTTTTTTCTAACACACTGTGTTTTTCTTATCTATTTTTTTCATTTTTCCTAAAAGTGGCGTCTCCCTTCATCAGTCGTAATTATAGTATTCTGGTCAACTTTAGTAATTATCTATGCTTAGTATTCTACTTGCGTTTTGGTGAGAGTTTTTACTTCATTTCATGAGTTATTTATTTAGTAGCCTAGTTCATTTGTTTTTCTTGACCGATAAATTATAGGTTCATTCTGCTATTCTTCTTGTTAAGACTTTATTGTTTGCTGTTGATTTTTCATTTAGGTTCGATTTGTACTTGTTGCACTTAATTGTTTGTTCTTGACTTTTCACTTACAATTAGAACGGTTTTGCAGTCTATTAAGGTTAAAATACAAGTTTTATAAATTGATATAGGTAAATAGAAAAGTGTTCCTCATCACTGTAACGTGCTATGCACATCTTTTTCACTAGGGAATTAATTATATCTGATATTAAATACATTTAACGTTTTATCAAATATTTTATGTTGAATCTGGAAGATTTTATTGACGGTAGTTCGTGAATTTGTTATTTTCCTTTCTTCTGCATATTAGTTTAAAGGAACTCACCCTATTTATCCATAGCACACATTAACGCTATCTTGCGTCTATGGTTCTTTCTTTTGACCTTAGCCTTTAATTATCTATGCTTAGTATAAAGTTTGTAATCTATGCTTCTGCTCTTGGCTTTTCTATGCTTTTAAAATAAAGTGTAGAATCTATGCTTTTGTTTTTAATATTTTTATCTATGTAATTTAGGCAAACCTGAGCAACGAAGTGCAAAGAAAAGGGTTAAGGATCAAACAATTAAATTTTCAGCTTATTTTACTTATAAATGAATGGTATTTCGTGCATCTAGTNCTTGAAGTGTTGTCGTATGTTTAATATGAGGGTGGAACAATAAATTTGATAAAAGTCATAGAAAACAACAAAAAAAAAGTATTTTTCTACATAATCTCCAATGAACTCAATACATTTGTTGGAACATTCTTCCTGTTCTTTATGCCCTCAGGTTAGGAAACAAAAAAAGCATAGACGTAGAGGATGGACTACGCATTCTCGATCCTTGCTGTAAGGTAAATGCAGACAGAAACGTGTGAGAGAGAGACAAAGCGATCGTGCGACTAGTATTTTTTTTACTGGTTACGAATGAGATAAAGAAAGAGGGAAAGAAACAAGTTTTTATCTAGAGAGTGGTCAATTTCACAAAGAGTATTGCTCAGTTTTTTTCTTCTTCTTTCTTTTGGGTGTTTCATTCCCACCACCCAGTAATGCTGGTGGGCGGGCAGTCCCTCCGGACTACGCCGGAAGGTAGGGCGGAAGGCCCTCTTCAGCCAGCTTTCAGGAATCGTGGGAATGGGTGGGTGGTGGTTCGGGTGAGAAAATTGAGACGAACGAAATGAAGACAGAAGAGAATGAAAGATTATCTGTGGAATGTTATTGCCCCAGCATTTGCCTAGGTGATCCAAGGAAACCTTAGAAATACTTGAACCAAGGCAGACGGACCCGGAATCGAACCGGCGTCCTCCCGAATGCTAAGCAATGGTCTAAACCTTTATCCCATGCCGCTCGGTATTGCTCAGTCCATTCTCTATGTCTATGGGAAAAAGTCACACGAGGTTATATCTAGGGAACAAGGTGTATGAGGGAGTAATTAGAAGTCTAACTCATACACTTTTACTATCACAGGTGCATTGTACCTTCTCCTTCTCTTTCAATTCACCATTTAAATGCTCCAATGACACTGCGTACTAAAGGCCAGTCCCTATTTTATCTCTTTCTAAATAGTCGATGGTGACACCTAGTAAACCCCAAAACTAGTGGTCTTACGACCATATTTAAATTCATTTATCCAGTAATAAAAAGTCTTAAGTGCAGGTACTGATTCCCCACAAACTTGTTTCAACTCAATTTTCTATTTGGGTAGCACAGCTGGATACTCGTCTTTTTCCATTGTTGCGAAAAAGCGTTAGCGTCACTTTCAATAGTTTTCAAGCATAAACTATGCGAAGCTAGTTCACGAAACTCATCCAGGGGTTCCATATAGAGTTGTCCTCTCTGACTAAAACATGAAATCGGTACAACAGTGCCATATTCATGGCTATTTACCAAACTGATCGACCTCCCATTCGAAAAAGAAATCCTAGCTACGGGCCTGGTTCAGCAACGCGACAGTTTGTCCGTCATACTTATAAAAAAGAATTATTAATCACACTAAATTTTTTAAAAGATTAATTGTATTATCCAAATCAGACTAGCATACTATGATTATTGGTATCGTTCATTAAAATTAGATGACCTATTGATTATACTATTTATCTATAAAGTCACAGACGTTTTCGCACTCAAACGTACATTGAACGCATACTGTCAGTATTTGGAGGAATAAAATAATAATTGTGTTTATCAATAGGTACGCCGACAATGGGGATCTTTTGGATTTTATAAAACGAAATGGTGTCGTTCCTGAACAGCAAGCAAAATTATGGTTTCGCCAAATGGCGACAGGTTTACAGTATCTTCACAACAAAAACATTGCTCATCGGGATTTAAAATGTGAAAATATATTGTTATCAAAACGGTTCAATGTTAAATTGGCAGACTTTGGATTCGCTAGGTTTTGTGTGGACGGGGACGGTCGTCGGGTACTGAGTCAGACATATTGCGGATCGGCAGCTTACGCAGCGCCTGAAGTTGTAAACGGTACACCTTACAACCCCAAACTGTCTGACGTATGGAGTTTAGGAATAATCTTGTTCATAATGCTGAATGCATCTATGCCTTTTGACGACTCAAATTTGAGAAAACTCTTGAAAGATCAAATGACTCGAAATTGGGTTTTTAGATCGCGAGTTCGTGATTCAATTTCATCGGCAGCAAAATCGATAGTGAGGAGCATTTTGGAACCCGACATAACATTACGTCTGACCCTTGACAGGGTTTTGACTCACGAATGGGTCAAAGTAACAAAAGAAAGGCCAAGTTCTCTGATAGGAAGGCTCGTGCATTCTGCGCCACCCGTACATACACAAATGCAAGCGCAACCCCCTACCGCAAAAGCAGCAATCAATGCTCCATACCATTGTAGAGAAGAATCGGTACCTGGTGACCACAAAAATTCTGAAGTGAAAAAGAGTAACAATACGATCAATATGCAGATTGAAGATCTATGAACGAAATCATAAGTTTTATATATGATGGGATTTTATTAAAGATACTTTATAAAAATTTAACAATTGTTTTTTTGTCAAATTTTTATTGCCAAATTGCTTGTAATAAACGTTTATACTGCTTGTATTATTATTT